GCCCAGCGTTCAAGATCAACACAAACCTGCACTGGTTCCAGGACAACAACAAAATTACATTTATAGAGTGCTTTTCACATCAAGAGGATGTCCACTAACAACCTCTAACTCAAGTGGAAACAATAAACTAAATACAGAGAAGAGCAAAGATTAGAAAACAAAAAGTGATAAATAACTCAATTTCTCCAGAAAGAGAAATGTTTTTTAGGAAATAAACAAAAAAATGACAAGAGAAAAACACCATTCGACCATATAGGCAAATGAGGACAGTTATCTTAAGTGTCTATCCACAAATACATAGCATAAAAGAATAAAACAAGTTAGAAACACAAATTCAGCTTAAAGGGTCTGATGTAGTAGCCATTACATAGACCTGGCTACAAGCTGGGCATTACTGGAGAGCTAAATATTCCAGGCTGTAAGATCTTTAGAAAGGACAGGAAAATTGGGAAAGGAGGAAGAGCAATATGGATAACACTCAAGTACAGCAGTAGATAGAAAGCACTTTAGTAAAGGTGATCAGGCTGTGGAAAAACTATGGGTAGAATTAAGGAACAGCAAAGGAGGCAAGACTCTGGTGGAAGTTGTCTACAGACACCAGATAGAAACAAAACAGCAATTGTTTTTGAGACAAGTTACACAATAAAAGGAGAAGCCAAACTGGCCAAGAATTGCTCACAATTTACATGGAGAGCAGGTAGACAGTGATAATGTCTCTGAAGCTCAGTTTCCCTTAACAAACATTACTGACAATGTACAGCCCACCAGAAGGTTCTCACAAATACAGACTTACCTGATATAGTCCATAGAGAGACCAGCCTGAGCCAAGCTCCACCACAAGCAAACTGACCATTTCATAGCTCTGAACCACAAACCTCCAGCAACTCATCTGCTCTCTCTGAGATGATGAAGTGACTCCTTCCGACAATGGTTTGACTGAGCTCAGCCTCTGGGTTGAATACCCAAAGGTTCAGGTTTGATATGTGGCCAATGAGCGAATCACATTCCTCACAAGGTCCAGTTGAAGGTCCTCCCTTCACAGCTGGAAACAGTCAGTATCATCACATGGGCTGTTGGCTATTGGCTGGTTCAGGGTTTATATTCATTACTTTACAGCAGTCACACTTTCCTAGAATTTCCTATTGAATGCTTCAGAGACACCATCAAACACACCATTAAATCAGATCACAAACACTAACAGGTGTGAGAGAGGAGAAAGATTGGAATAGAGAGAAAGTTTGATAGAGAGGAGAAAAATTGTAATAAAGAGAGACAATGTACGATAGAGAGAGAAAGTGTGGAATAGAGGAGAGAGATTATGTTAGAGAGAGACAAAGTATGATAGAGAGGAGAAAGATTGCAATAGAGATAAAGTGTGATAGAGAGAAAGATAGCAATATAGAGAGAAAGTGTGTTAGAAAGAAGGAGAAAGATTGTAATAGAGAGAAAGTATGAAACAGAGGAGAAAGATTGCGATACAGAGAAAGTGCGATAGAGAGATAAAAGGTTGTAATAGAGAAGGAAAAAGATTCTGATAGAAAGAGTGATAAAGAGGGAAAAGATTGTAATAGAGAGACCAAGTATGATAGAGAGGAGAAAGAATCTGATAGAGAGAGAAAGTGTGTTAGAAAAGAGAAAGATTGTAATAGAGAGAGACGAAGTATGATAGAGAGAAAGATTGTGATAGAGAGAGAAAGCGTGACAGAGAGGAGAAAGATTGCATGAGACAGAAAAAGTGCGATAGAGGAGAAAAATTGTGATAGAGGAAGAAAGAAGGAGAAAGACTGGAATAGAGAGAGAAAGTGTGAAAGAGACAAGGAAAAGCTTGCAACAGAGAGAGAAAGTGTGATAGAGAGGAGAAAGATTTTGATACAAAGTGTGATAGAGAGGGAATAGTTTGTAATGGAGAGAAGGGTAGAAAGATTCTGATAGAAACAGTGAGAGAGAGGGAGAAGGTTGTAATAGATAGAGCAAGTCTGATAGAGAGGAGAAATATTCTGATAGAGAGAGTGTGTTAGAAAGGAGAAAGATTGCGATTGAGAGGAAATGTGAGAGAGGAGGAAAATTGGGATAGAGAAGGAGAAAGATTGCAATAGAGAGAAAGTGTGACAGAGAGGAGACAGATTGCAATAGAAAGTTTGTTAGAATGATTGGAATAGAGAGGAGAAAGATTGCAACAGAGAGAACGTGATAGAGAGGAGAAAGGTTGTGAGAGAGAGAGAAAGTGAAACAGAGAAGAAAGATTATGGTAGAAAGTGTGATAGAGAGGAGAGAGATTCTGATAGAGAGAAAGTGTGATAGACGGGGAAAAGGTTGTAATAGAGAGAGCAAGTGTGATAGAGAGGACACAGATTCTAATAGAGACAGAAAGTGTGATAGAAAGGAGAAATATCGTAATAGAGAAAGACAAAGTATGATAGAGAGGAGAAAGATTGGACCCTGACCCGATCCCAGCAACCCCGAACCAGCCCCACAATCCGCGAGGAAACCCCGCAACCCCGAACCGGCCCCAGGAAACCCGAATCAGCCCCAACAACAGGCAACTCTGTACCCACCCCAGGATCCGCGAACCAGCCCCGGCATCTCCGAGCCAGCCCGTGTCTGACCTCAATCTCTGCGATTCCTACAAGCTGTGTTGATGAATTAAACCCTGGACCCAACTTGTGAGCTCAACACATTAATCCATCAACATCTCCCAGTCCTGTCCCTCTCAAACCTCAGCCTCTGTTACTACCTACTTCTAATCCCAACCTCCAGTGTGAATCAGAGTTTGGCTCATACATGTTCGGATGTCTGACATCCTGCATGATGTCCACATAGTATTGCCAAACCTCTGGAGTGTAAAAAGGTGCGAGAAAGAGGTACAAAGTTTGCCGTCATCGCAGGGTTCCCACTAGCACATACTTACCTTATCCTCCACGAGTCCCAAAGTGCTAGGGAGAGAAACATGAGCTTCAGTTAGCAGTTTGGTTCCCATTAGTACAGATCTACCTTCGGATGACAACTGAGCTCAGCGCATTAATCATTGACGCCTCACCCGGTCTTCAGCTCCACCTCGTCTCCAAACGATTCCCAGTTGGATGCCTTTATGACCGAAATTTAGCTGACAGTTTAAAAACTAACGCAGCGATGTAACTGCAAAATAAAGATTCCACAGAGTGATTCTGCTATCGCCGTCTTTGAGACGGGTTACACGGTAAAAGGAAAAGCCAGAGTATTCAAGAGTTGTTCACAATCTTCGTCAAACAGAGATGGATGGGGACAAAGTCACCGAACTTCATTGATGTATGAAGAACCAGCCATCACCCGGTATGAATGAGCATTAGCCCGGCATTCAAGAGCAACACAAACCTGTACCGGTTCCAGGACAACAACATTACATTTATACAGTACCTTTCAAGTCGGGAGGACTTCCACTGACAACCTTTGACTCAAGTGGAAACAGTAGACTAAAGACAGAGAAGAGCAAAGCTTAGAAAACAAAAAATGATAAATAACTGAATTTCTTCAGAAAGAGAAATGGTGTTAGGAAATAAACACAAAAAACATGATAAGAGAAAAACACCATTGGGCCATATGGGCAAGTGAGGACAATTACCCTAATAAATGTCTGTCCACAAATACATAGCATAAAAGAATAAAACAAGTTAGAAACACAAATTGAGCTTAAAGGGTCTGATGTAGTAGCCATTACAGAGACCTGGTTACAAACTGGGCATTACTGAGAGCTAAATATTCCAGGCTGTAAAATCTTTAGAAAGGACAGGAAAATTGGGAAATGAGAAAGAGCAATATTGATAACACCCAAGTACAGCAGTAGATAGAAAGAACTTTAACAAAGGTGATCAGGTCACGGAAACACTATGGATAGAATTAAGGAACAAGAAAGGAGGCAAGACTCTGGTGGAAGGTGTCTACAAATCTCCAGATAAGAACACAACAATAGCAATTGTTTTTAAGACAAGTTACACAATAGAAGGAAAAGCTGTGCTGGCCAAGAGTTGTTCACAATTTACATTAAGGGGAAGTGGACAGTGATAATGTCTCTGAAGCTCAGCAATGTGCGGTGGGGGGGGGGGGGCAGGTGTGTGCAGGGAGGGCGGGAGTGTGCGGGGGGGACGGGAGTGTGAGTGGGGGCAGGACTGTGTGGGGGTGAAGGACTATACGGGGGGACGGGAGTGAGTGGGGGAGGTAGGATTGTGGGGTGGAAGGACTGCGGGTAGAGGCTGGAGTGTGCCGGGGCACAGAAGTTACACATTCAGTTTTCTTGCATTGGTGCTTGGCTCAGGCTGGCCTCTGTGGACCAAGAAATTTTGGTAAATCTGGAAATCTTACTGTCACAAACATTTAAAAGAAAATTAACAGAGAAAAATATTTGAATAAATGTCTCTGCATTTTACCGTCACAATGTCTAGCCACAGAGAAATGCAACGAAATACATTTCTGTACTTTTTACCCTCATGTTTAATCAGAGAAAAATATTTAAATGTTTCTCTACATTTTAACTTCAAAACTGTTAGCTGTAGAAACAAAGAGTAAAATACATTTTTCCCAGCCCCACAATATAGCTCGGAAATAATCCCAATTCTCCCAGTTTAGGCAGTTTTGTCGGAGTTTTAGGTGACGGTTAACTGTTAATGTTGGGGGTAAGGATTGTGATCGTCTATGTGAGGAGTCCACACTTCCACTTTTAATAGTAATAATCCATTTAATCCAACAACTTTTTCCAACTTTGAGATGTCTCAAAGTGCTTGAAGGGATTTACTGTAAAGTGCAGTGATTGCTTCAGGTTAATGCATTTAGCTAACCCTGACCTGAGAGTGTGGACGGACAGTGTAGAGGGAGCTTCATTGTGTCGCTGACCCTGACTTGGGAGCGTGGATGCACAGTGTAGGAGACTTGCTTTGAGACATACTCCTATTGTGATAGAATGAGACAGACTGATAGACAGAAAGACTGAGAGAAACAAAGAGACAGTATTGAACTTCTGAACACAACTATTAATGTGAAACCAGTTTAATACGATTTACAGTAAAGTGTAGGTGTAGTGACTGTGTGTTTATTGGGCAACCACTGTTTGCACATGGCAACGTCTCTGCAAACAGCTGTGAGGCGAGTGAGTGGTTTTATCAGTTGGCTAGGACACCGGGAGAGGGAGAAACGCATTTCACACATACTCACTGATGACAGAGAGAGACATGCACAGAGAGCAATTGGATAGAGCAACAAGAGAGAGCAACCGAACCTCTCGGTCTTCTCCGCTTTCTCTCAGTCTTTCTCTCGCTCAGTCTCTCCCTCTCTGTCTCTCCCTCTATTAGGCTCTCCCTCTCTTCGGCTCTCCCTCTCTCTGTCTCTCCCTCTCTCTTCGTCTCGCTCAGGGACCACTCAAGGGCCACTCGGAGACACCAGGTTCCCCAAGAGACGCTGCCTACCGTGACGATAATCATCTTCATCGACATTGACCAGGAGCTTGATGGCCTCGTGTCCCACAGCTTGTTTCAGGGACTCTGTGATAAACACACCCTTGAGCGCCTCGAGCAATGACCCATTAATATAATCCCTCCAAAAGGCGTCCAAATAGGTCAGCTCTGAGAATTTAATGTCGCAGATAATGGAACCCAAGTCCCTGGACTTGAGGATGGTGTTGGCCTGACTGAAACACTCAAACTGCCGATCAAGGGGATCCGGCTTGTTCGAGAAGACGTTTCCCTGCAAGGCCGAGTCATGTTGGCAGTATTCCGCTCGCACGCGGAGACGGATATCTGCAGAGAGAGAAAGCATGAGAGACATAAACACAAGCAATGAGCGAGCAAGAGACAGAGCGAGAGATCAAGCGAGCCATAGTCAGAACGAGCGAGAGCCAGACCAAGTGAGCCAGAGCGAGCCAGACCAAGCGAATCAAAGACAGCGAAACACAGAGGGAGCCAGAGACTGAGTGAGCAAGTGCCAGACCTAGCGAGGCAGAGACCAGGCGAGGGAGAGCGGGCGAGGGAGAGCGGGCGAGGGAGAGCGGGCGAGGGAGGGAGACAGGGCGAGAGCATCCAGGCGATGAATTGAAGTGTGAGAAGGAGATGCGTAGTGACTGACCACAAGTCTGCTTCTCCTTGTTCTCTGAAATTGGAGCTCGCTTTCTCTTGCGACGAGACGTGCGCTGGGGACACAGTCTGCCCGGACGGTACTGACTCATCTGAGGTCCAGTGGGTGAGTAACAGAGATTCTTTGCAGAAGCTTAAGAGAGAGAAATGTACAGTGTAGAGGGAGCATTACTGTGTCTCTAACCCTGACCTGGGAGTGTGGATGGGCGCACAGTGTAGGGGGAGCTTTACCTGTTTTTCCGGTCTCTTGTCCACTTGTTCCCGAAGTTCGCGATTTTATAAAAGTCATAGATGTTTCCTCAAGGTATTTATCCACAGGATCTGGTATAACTGTGTGAGAGAGAGCGACAAAGAGAGTTGTGAAGGAGTCTTGATCATATAGATTAACAAATACTCTTCAGTCTCTCTCGCTCTCAAGTCTCTATCTCAGTCTCTCTATCTCAAGTCTCTCTCTGTCTCAGTCCCTCTCTCCCTGTCAATCTTTCTCGCTCTGTCTCTCTCTGCTCTCTCAGTGTCTCTCTCTCTTGCTGTCAGTCTCCATCTCAATCTCTCTCAGTCTCTAACTCAGTCTCCATCTTTCAATCTCATCTCTCTCTCCTGTTGTCCCTCCCATTGTGTCATTCCCTCGCTTGCTCTCACCGCTCTCCCTGCGTTTGAGTGTGACGTAAGGCAGGAGATCATGACGTGTGATGATCCTCAGAAGCTGCAGAACTTGCCGGAAATTATTCTCATCACAGCGACCCTGTCGCTCGAGCGTGAGAAAGAAGTCACGGCCATCTTTAATTTCACCACGCTGGTCATCCCCGATCACATCAACAAACAGGAAGGAGAAAACACGCACATCGCGGTGAGTCAGGTGTGTGCCAACCAGGCGGAACATGTTGTGCAGTGTGTACAGCCCATGTTCCATGTTTACTCGCTCCTCCGGCCATGTCTGGTCAGCGTCCGCTCTCCGGCGCTTCATCATCTGTGTGAGAGAATGCGAGAAAGAATGAGAGTGTGAAGGGGGAGTGAGAGAGAGAGAGTGAGGGGGGAGTGAGAGAGAGAGTGTGAGGTGGGAGTGAGAGAGAGAGAGAGAGTTAGGGAGGAGTGAGAGAGAGAGAGAGTGTGAGGGGGGAGTGAGAGAAAGAGATTGCGAGAAAGGGTGGGGAGTGAGGGGGTGTGAAGGGGTAGTTAAATAGAGTGAGAGCGAGGGAGTGAGAGAGACAAGAGTGAAAGAGGGGAAAGTGAGAGAGCGAGCCTGTGGGGGTGGGGGGGAGAGAAGAGAGTGTGAGGGGGCGGAGAGTGTGAGGGGGGACAAAGAGTGGTTGGGGGAGAGAGAGTGCAGGGCGGGAGTGGGAAAGAAAGAGTGTGAGGGAGAGAGAGAGAGTGGGGGGGGGAAAGAGAGTGTGAGGGGGGGGGAGAGTGTGAGGAGGGCGGAGAGTGCGTGGGGGGGGAGAGTGTGTGAGGAGGCGAGAGAGTGTGAGAGGGGGGCGGAGAGTGTGAGAGGGGGGCGGAGAGTGTGGGGGGGGGAGAGGTGGGGGGGGGAGAGAGTGTGGGGGGGGAGAGAGTGTGGGGGGGGAGAGAGTGTGGGGGGGAGAGAGTGTGGGGGGCGAGTGTGAGAGGGGGAATGTGAGGGGGGGGTGTGTGAGGGGGCGGGGGAGTGTGAGGGGGGGATAGAGTGTGAGGGGTGGAGAGTGTGGGGGAGAGTGAGGGGGGGGAGTGTGGGGGGGGGAGTGCGGGGGGGGAGTGTGTGGTGGGGGAGGAGTGTGGTGGGGGAGAGTGAGGGGGGGGAGTGTGTTAGTGGGAGAGTGTGAGGGGGGAGAGTGAGGGGGGGAGTGTGGGGGGGGAGAGAGTGTGGGGGGGGAGAGTGTGGGGGGGAGAGAGTGGGGGGGGAGAGAGTGTGGGGGGGAGAGAGTGTGGGGGGGGAGAGAGTGTGGGGGGCGAGTGTGGGGGGGGAGAGAGTGTGGGGGGGAGAGAGTGGGGGGGAGAGTGTGGGGGGCGAGTGGGGGGGTGTGGGGGGCGAGTGTGGGGGGGGGAGAGAGTGTGGGGGGGCGAGTGTGAGAGGGGGAATGTGAGGGGGGGTGTGAGGGGGAGGGGAATGTGAGGGGGGGGTGTGAGGGGGGATAGAGAGTGAGGGGGGGAGTGTGGGGGGGAGTGGTGGAGGGAGGAGTGTGAGGGGGAGTGTGGGGGGGAGTGTGAGGGGAATGTGTTAGGGGGAGTGTGAGGGGGAGTGTGGGGGGGAGTGGAGGGGGAATGTGTTGTGGGAGTGTGAGGGGGAGTGTGGGGGGGGGTGTGAGGGGGGAGTGTGGGGGGAGTGTGAGGGGGAATGTGTTAGTGGGAGAGTGTGAGGGGGGAGTGTGGGCGGGAGTGTGGGGAGGGTAGGGAGAGTGTGAGGGGGAGTGGGGGGGGAGTGGAGGGGGAGTGGGGGGGAGTGTGAGGGGGAGTGGGGGGGGGAGTGTGTAGTGGGAGAGTGTGAGGGGGAGTGGGGGGGGGAGTGTGAGGGGGGAGTGTGGGGGGGAGTGTGTTAGTGGGAGAGTGTGAGGGGGGAGTGTGGGGGGAGTGTGTTAGTGGGAGAGTGTGAGGGGGGAGTGTGGGGGGGAGTGGGGGGGGGGCAGAGAGATACCTTATTGGGGGGCGGCTGCTCCCCGGGAAACATGAATCTGAGGCGCGGTTTCCTCCGCGGATCAAAAACACCAACAACAGCGACGATCGAGTTCAGGCCCCAAAACCTCAATGGAAACTGGGGCGGGGCATTAAGGCCAAAGATGGTGACGTGTGAGCGTGGCCCCGCCTCCCCGCCTGGGAGTCGGGTACCGCCCTCGGGGGGCGGGGCCTCAGTACAATAGCCATTGGTGTCAACTGGCGCGCGGCGCACTCTGGGAATTGCGAGCATGCGCAGTGCGACTACAACTCCCAGCATCCAGAGCGACAGCCGCAAAGTTGTTTCCCCATTAAACTCTTATTTATCGCAGTAAACACGCAGATTCGTTACATTATAAATATAAACTTCCGGAGTTGCAATCCGTCCTTCAGGGAACCGATGCCGGTCTCACCACCGCATTTACACTGAGCATGCGCGCTACTGCAATCCATAGCTCATCTCCACTTTAAAGCACAAACGTGCCGACGTGGAAGCTTTAACCTAATTTTTAAACCAATCCAACATGAGGCCAACATGAATGTCCGTGGGACCTTTTCGGACTTCAATGGGCTCGATTTGACCATAAAAGGGCATTTTAGATGTGTCCGCAGTCATTGAGTGGCGCGCGAGGCAGCCTGGGAGTTGTAGTTCTCAGACACACGAACAGGGATCAAACGGGAGGACTACAACTCCCAACACGCCTTGCGCCCCTCACTTTGCTTGACAGCTGACCATTGACAGCCAAATTGATACAAGTGTCCATTTTTAATGTCTCCCTCAATCCATTCCTTTACTCCCAAGTCTCCAACCACCTCCCTCTCACACCTCAATCCATCCCAATTCCCCAAGTCGCTTTCCATCTCCATGCATCTCTCAAACCGATCCATGCATCAGGGTGTGAGAGAGGGAATTAGAAATGTTGAATGGTCGGACATTAAACCTCACTCCCCGTCCATGCCCTGTTCAGGCTGGACGTTAAAGATCTTCCGTGGTGCTGTAGGAAAGAGAAGGAAGTTTCTCTCTCTGTCCCTCTCTCTCGGTATTCTAGCCACAGATAATACTGTTCGTTCAATTCATGGCGTTTGCGGGGATGTCACACAATCAATACATTTTAAAGTGATTTCTGGAAAGCGCTTTGAGACGTCTCAATGTCACGTGGGCCAAAGAGGGAAATAAATACTTACGTTTGTAGTTTCTCTGCTGCATTTTACACTGTTGTGTTCACACAATTAAAAGTATATCATGAATTCAACTCTGCCGTGTGTCTGTGTTAGTGTGCGTGTGTCTTGGTGTGTGCATGTGTGTCTGTGAGTGTCTCTGTTTGTGCGTCTGTCTGAAGGTCTGACCACCGATGGTGGGGCAGGCAGGGCGGGGTACATGGAGCAGGTTGGAGCCTGCTGAGTGGAAGGATCAGTGTGGGGTTAGCGGGTCACAGAGGTAATAATAAAAATAATAATTGGGAGTTCATATACAGATCAACCGTGATCGAATAGAATGGTGGAACAGCCTCAAGCGGCTGAATGGCCTCTTCCTGTTCCTAACACTAATCCAGATTGTGTGTGTGTGTGTGAATGCGTGTGAGAGAGAAAGCCTATGTGTGGGAGCGTGTGTGTGAGTGTTCGTTTGATAATAATAATTTCCCCCTTGCCCCTCTCTCACCCCTCCTCCCCTTTCCCTCTCCTTGAGGCCCAGCTCTGTTGTGTGTGTCCGTGTGTAGAGACCAGTGAATGGAAGTGTTGAGTCTTGTAGCTCAGTGGTTAGCACCCGCACCTCGCAAGCGAGAAACCTGGGTTTGTTTCCCAGCAGGGTGAAATGTTGGGCAAGTTTCCTTACTCCACACGCCTCTGTTTACCTAGCAGTAAATAGGAACACTGTTGTTAGTCGATTGACGGTTGAATCGCTTTTCCAGGGGTAATAATCCCTTAAAAAAATTATTTTGTCACTCAATCCAAGACTGTTTGTGGGACACTGCTGTGCGCAATTGGCTGCCACGTTTTGGCCCAAATATATAGTCAATTAACTTTACAGTATATTTTTTGATGCACTTTGAGACGTCTCGAAGACGTGATAAGGCAATATCAAATGCAAGGATTATTATTATAAATCAAGTTCACATTCACTCGTCTTTGCAAAATATTTAGTTTTGGGGCTTTTTGTTTCATGATTTTTCTCTTTCCCACAAAAACATTGAGATTTATTATTTGCTTGAATTCATGATCTGTCTATTCCCTTTCCAACCAAACTCGCCCGCTCCTTTCTCTCGTTCCCTCTTTGTTTCCCACATCTCATTCCCTCTCCATTACCTCCTCAAATCGTATCCCAAACACACACACGCACCTCTTTACATCTTTATGTTTGCTCTCATTTCACCCAGCTCCCCTTAACCCCTAACCCAGTCTGTCTGAAACCTTCTGCCTCAATCTCTAACCCACTCCCTCCTCCCACTAACAGACTCCCTCCCTCTAAACCATTCCCTCCCTCCCTCCCTCCCTCTAACATATTCCTTCCTTTTCTCTCGTCACTGCCTTATCTCAGAGCCCAGAAGGGGCTGAGGCCGGAGGCGGGCTGGCGCTGGGACACTTGCGGGATGAGGCCAAGTCCGAGGCCCGAGACCACCATCTTGACACTGTTCCTGCCCGAGACCCTCCTCTCGTACTCCACCAGCTGCCGCCAGAAGCCCACGTTGGGCCTGATGATTGGCCGCCGCGCCTTGACCCACTGATAGGCCTGGAGGAGGCTGTGCTGGTGGTACTTGATGAGGTAGGCGAGGCAGAGCGAGGCCGAGCGGCTGATGCCGGCCACACAGTGGATCAGGGTCCGGCCTTGTCGCGCACTCACACTGCGCACTTTGTCGGCGATGGTGTCGAAGTACAGCGAGAGCGGCGCGTGCGGCAGGTCAGGCAGCGGCACCGTCACGTGCTCCACGTCCGGCCAATGAGGACTCGGCAGCTCCACTGTGACGTTGACGACACATGTGATGCCGCGGCTGGCCAGCAGGGGGCGGTTGGCGGCGGCGCTGCCGTTACTGAGGTACAGACACGGGGTGATCTGCGACATGGCCGCCAGGCCGCTCAGGGGGAAGCCGGCCCTCAGCACCGGCACTGGCGGCGGGCTCCGCATCAGCCCGTAACCCCGCCCATTCATGGCTGTGACCGGCCGCGGGGCGGGTGTGACAAAGTCATTGACACTGCGGAGAGAGAGAATTGTCAGCATAACATATATGTATACACACATACATACACACATACATACACACACACACATATACACACATACATACACACACACATACATACACACACACACATATACACACATACATACACACACACACATATACACACATACATACACACACACATACCTACACACACACATACATACACACACACAGACACAGACAGTGTTGTGATCGCTGCCCCTCATGTTGCCCAGTGAGTGCTGCCTGACCTGTGCTGCCTGTGCGGTGCGGGGGGTCGGGACCAGTTCCCCCGATGCGGGGCTGCAGGTTCTGTCTCTCTGGGCTGGGGGCGTGGCAAACACGTGTCACCCTGGCAACATCGTCATAGGGGCGGAGCCAGGTGGACAAAGGGGCGGGGTCATGTCAGCGACTCATTCACAAAAAAGATACATTTACCTTGTAAAATGTCAGCCTGACTGATCATTATATTGATCAATATTCTCTGATCAATACACGAATGATAACAATAATTCTTGCATTTGATATGGTGCCTTATCATGTCACAGACGTCTCAAAGTGCTTAGGAACATTGCAACAGGAGGAGGCCATTCAGCCCCTCATAACAACAACAAGATTGCATTTATAGAGGGCCTTTCACGTCAGGAGGACGTCTCAAGGCGCTGCACAGTTGGGTCGGGATCCGAGCATTGGGGGGAAATGGTCAGGGTGAGGGGAGGGAAGGGAGGGAGCAGAGAGTCGAGAGGGGAGCTGAAGGCACGGTTGAAGAGAAAGGTTTTGATACCGGCCTTGAAGGAGGAAAGGAAGGAAACGGCGAAGGCACTGGGGAATAGAGTTCCAGAGCCTCGGGCTGAGAGGCTGAAGGCCACCGATGGTCGGGCGGTTGGGGCGGGGGATGTGGAGCAGACCGGAGCCAGAAGAACGGAGGGTACGGGCAGATAAGTAGGGGGATAGTTAGTCGGAGAGGTAGGAGGGAGCAAGGCCGTGAATGGCCTTGTAGGTGAGGATGAGGATCTTGAACTCAATCCTCTGGGGGATGCGGAGCCAGTGGAGGCGAGCGAGGGTGGGAGTGATGTGGGCGCGAAGCCTGGTGCGGGACAGCACACAAGCTGTAGAGTTCTGAATGACCTGCAGTGTGGAGGGAGGTGCCGGGAAGGCCGACGAGGAGAGAGTTCCCGTATTCCAGACTTGAGGTGATAAAGGCATGGACCAGTGTTTCAGCAGCGTGAGGGGTGAGGTAGTGCCATAGTCTGGCGATATTCCAGAGGTGGTGGAAGGCGGTGCCAGTTGTGGCACAGATGTGGGGAAGAAAGGACAGCTCAGGGTCGAACAGAACACCAAGATTGCTGATTGGCTTTGAGAGGTGGAGAGTGCAGCCTTGGATGCTGATGCTGTCAGCGCCTGAGATGCGGAGGCACTGACGTGAGCCAATCAGGAGAGCCTCAGTTTTGCGCACGTTGAGCTGAAGAAAGTTGTCTCTCATCCAGGACTCGATATCAGACAGGCAGGCTGTCAGGACATCGGTGGTCGTGGAGTTGAGGGTACAACTGACCTCAAGCCTGTTATAATAATAATATTGTTATTATCTCTGTTCTACCATTCTATTAGATCATGGCTAATCTGTACCTCAACTCCAATTACCTATCTTTTCCCCATATCCGTTGATACTCTTAGAAGATAAATCTATCCATTTCAGTCTTGAAAATTTGCATGTAACCAGCATCCACAGCCTTTTGGGGAAGAGAGTTCCAGATTTCCACTCCCCTTTTTGTGAAGAACTGACTTTTGATTTCACTTAGCTCTAATTTTAAGATGATGTCCCCATGTTCTGGATTCCTCTACCAGAGGAATTAATCTCACTATCGAATCCCTTTAACATTTTAAAAACCTCAATTAGATCACCAATCAACCTTCTAAACTCAAGGGAATACAGACCAAGTTTATTCAACCTGTCCTTGTAATTTAACCCTTTAAATTGAGTTGGCGTAGTCGAGTCTAGATGTGATGAATGTGTGGATGAGAGCTTCAGTGGCCTGAGGGGAGAGGCAGTGGTGGAGCCGGGCAATGTTGCAGAGGTGGGGGAAGGCAGAGGGTGTAATGGCATGGCTGTGGGGTGGAAAGGACAACTGAGGGTCAAACAATATGCCAAGGTTCCTTACTGGCTCCGTGAGGTGCAGTGTGCACCCATGGATGGCGATGCTGCCAGTGCCTGAAGTGGACGTGCTAATGGGAGACAATCAGGAGAGCCTCGGTCTTACTGACGTTGAGCTGTAGAAAGTTATCTCTTATCCAGGCCTTGATTGGCCTGGATGACAGACATTGTGTCAAAATAGCACTGATCCTGGAGTCAAGGGTGGAGGCAGAGAAATAGAGTTGGGTGTCATCCACATACATGTGGAAGTTGACCCCATGTCTGCAAATGACGTCACCAAGAGGGAGCAGGGAGCATGTACAGGTTGAAGATGAGAGGACTGAGGACAGAGCCCTGAAGAACGCCGCGTGAGAGAGTGGAGGCCGGAGGAGAAGTTGTTTGTGGTGACAAAGTGGAGATGGTGTGAGAGGTAGGATCTGAACTACTCAAGGACAGAACCATGAAGGTTGAGATGAGAAGAGGCGATGGAGGAGGCAGTGTGAATCGCAGTATATAGAAAAGCACGTGTGTTTTATTGATATCCTGTGGCTATTATGTACAATAGCAGCCTAAGTGTGTATGTGTGTTACACAACAGCGCCACCCTGTGGCTATTATGTACAATAGCAGCCTATGTGATCTGTCACTCTCCCCGGCTCCACTACAAACTGATTGAGATCTGCTCGTATTCTCACCCGCACTGACCTCTGAACCCAGCTATTTATTTTCTCTCTCTCTCACTCCCGCAGGTTGCAACTTGCCGGGATGGGCGAGACCCGCTCGTCGTTGATAACACTGCGGACGGGTAGCACTGCAGGCAGAGGCCATCTCCCCACTGCAGCCCAAAGTTAGGGACGTGGTGGAGACGCTCAACACATGGCGCCTCCTTGTGGATAGAGAACAGTTTTGTTTGTGCTGCTGCCATCACCAAGTGCATTTGAGACATCCGGCCGATGTCATGACACTGAGCCCTTATTTTCTTTTATCGCTTTATCTGCTCAGTCTCTGGCTTCAATACAAGACGGCGACTGAACCACTTACTATGTAGAGCAGTTGTGGCCAACCTTTATGTTCGGCCAACAAAATAAGTATTCTTGCCTGAATATTTATTGAATTTTTGTTTCAACTGTAGCCTTTTTGCAATGAGGTTCACAATCTTTGAAGTGCTTCGCGACACAATCTCTGAAGTGCTGGAATGCAATGCCTGAAAGGGTGGTGGAAGCCAATTCAATAACAACTTTTAAGAGAGAAGATAATTATTTGGGGAGGACAAATTTGCAGGGCTGTGGGGAGAGAGTGGGGGAGTGCGATTGAATTGGATAGCTCTTTTCAAAGAGCCGACACAGACATGATGGGCTGAATGGCCTCCTTCTGTGCTGTATAATTTTATGATTCTACTATGATCCCCTGGACATGAAAGGCACCGTATAAATACAAAATTGCTGGCATTACTCTTGGCAGGTATTATCTTGCAAAGCGCTTTGCGATATTTCAATGTAAAAATCTATTCACAACTAAGAGCTTTTATCAGTCTTACAACAGCTTTTGTTTACTGGAAGTAAGTAAAATACAAAACATCTAAAGCAGAATTGTTTTTCTTTAAAAAAATCAGAAATTCCTTCTGGGAAGAAAGGAAAGAATGTTGGCCTATCTGGAGCTCCAAGGAGTTTCTACGAAAAGTCTTTGACTTTCATTTTCTCGGGAATGCACGAATGCTGGGAATTTTACTAGTGCTTTACATGCTGGTATATTTAGAGTAGGAGGAACACCTAATCCCCAGGACACTTTTCCAATATACTTTGGCACTGATAAATAATTGGAAGGAGTATTGCAAAATTGTTGTGACTAGTGTATAGGTTATACTACAATTTACAAATTCCCAGTTAACCAGTCTCTCAGTTACAACTTGCACTTTAAATGCTGAAACATTTCTGGTGTCTCACATGTTAGACAAACTCACAGAACCCAGTGAGGGAAACACAATTCTAGAATTACAGATTGGCAAATTGGTGGGAAGGTTTGTGGGAGCTGAAACCACAAAAAAGATTTTGGAACCAACAAAAGTAGAGAATTCTAGAGTTTATTTGTTTGATTCTGAGCTAGGATAAATCACAAAGAACATGTAAATTGCAAGCACTTCAGCTGAATGCACAGAACAAATGTTTGCTAAATCTCATTGAGGGTCTGAAAGGTTCAAAAAATGCCTTGATTCCACAAAACTCAACAACAATAACTTGCATTTATTCAGTGCCCTTCACATATAATAAAGGTAATAATAATCCTTGCATTTGGTAGAGCACATTTTTGCACCTCTTACTGTCCTTCCCCCCAAAACATTTTTCACTTGTTTTGTAGATTTTGATAGCGATGTATAGAGGAGGACAAAAAAATCTGACTTCAATTGTCAAGGCAATTACTTCTTTCAACCTTCCTTGGCTTCATCAATTAAAGAGCTTTGTGGCTATATCTGAGCAAAACGTGGTCTGGTATCTCCATCCGTTTTCGACAATTGGGTAGATTGCAGGAAACTGATGTGGCCCCCCCATTAAACTGTTGACTTCGGCTTTCACATAGCTATTCAAGGTTATCAAATATATGGGCAACACTCCTAATGAATGCAAACAAACCTCATTGAAAGTCTTTGGTCCTACACATTGGCTTCTCAGGGCCTAGCCCAGTAGGGGGGATATGATTTGCTGGAAGTACAATTCTGACCTGTGTTGATGACTGTGACTTTTATTTCATGGTGTTTCCTACCAGGATATTCCTTACTGCTAACCCTTGGGAACTCAGCTTCGGGAATGGATCCAAATGGAATACCTACTAGCAGCAAGGAGCCCCAATTTGCAAGACTCAGACTGCCCATAAAGGAATCTGGTTATGAAATACCACAAATTAGACCTCTATAGCTCTTGTATTGGGTAATGAGGCCGTTGACACATTGAAGGCAAAGTTGTTGAAATTAATTTGACAGTTGGAGTACATGGAGATTAATCATCTGAAACTTCATTTTATCCTAGCATTTGATGCAGCGCCTTATAATAATAATAATCGTGGCATTTGATAAAGTGCCTGATCACGTTCTCAAGACATCTCAAAGTGCTTCACGGAATATATTGTAAAATGAATTGATTATATTTTCACGGGCAAAACGCACACCAAATCATATACAATATAA